CAGCCGCCTTTGTCTCCCTTAGTGGCAATGCTTACACCTCAGGGAGGCTCAGGACCGGTTCAGGAAATCCTCACTGGTGTTGGCCGTGAGTGGAAAATCGAACACTACCGCTCCCATAACTGACTCACACACACACTGACTCTGACTCACACACACCCAACAACAACAACCGCCATTCACCAATAAGTGGCGGTGACGTCACCACGACGCTTGTGCCAGGCCATGTGCACCTTGAGGCCACGTGAAGTGTCGAACGCCCGCGGGCAGGAGGTCACGGGGCAGACCCAGGTGCCACTGAGATAACTGTCTGGTGCACCACCTGTGCCCCCTACTGTGCCAATCTGCTGTGCTTTAGCCACCCGGCGCTCCGCTCGTTGTTGTGAGCGTCGCTCCTCCGCCCTCCGTTGTTGTTGGAGGGCGACTGCCTCCAACTGCCCAGTAGCGTCCTTCACGAGCCTACTCCACAGAGGCCGATCTTGACACCGCTGGTACCAGTCATCGGCAAGTCCACTCAGCTCCACGTCCTCCTGTACCACATCACTCCATCTCTTCTCTAGCCCGTGCCGCGCCCGTTCAGCCCCCTCGATCCGGCCGAACAAAAGCTGTTTCGGCATGCGGTGGCTGGGCATGCGGGCTACATGACCCAGCCATCGCAGCCTTGCCCGCCGGAGGAGCTCACCGATGGGACCTTGCCCAGATCTTTCAAGGATTTGTGAGCTCCTCACACAATCCAGTCTGGTTAAACCCAGGATGGATCGTAGGAAGTCCAGCTTTAATGTTTCAAACCGGCAAAGATGTTCCATTAGGGGGTTCACGTTTCGCAAGCGTAGAGAAGGGAGGGAATGACCGTGGCCGAGAAGACCTGAAGCTTAGTGCGGAGCGACAGACCAGGTAGCTTCCACACAGCGTTACGCAACTGATGAAAAGATATGGCCGCTCGACTGATTCGGAGTGAAACCTCTGCTGTTGAACTGGAGCCGGTCATGAGCACACTGCTCAGGTATGGGAAACTCTCCACTCTCTCCACAACTGCCCCATCACCGATTGGGAGTTGTGGGGGTGGAGTGTCCGATGGTACAAAATACCCAGGCAGGTGCTTAGTTTTGGTGGGGCTGATGGTAAAGCCCCATCTCTAAGTGGCATGCTCCAGTCTCAGCAGCAGCGTCTCCAACTCCTCCTCTGAATGAGCAGCTATTACCATATCATTGGCATACATAGCGTGGTGGAGCAATAGGGAGCCATCCCTTGACCGCACCCGGGCATCGATACGCCTCCCATTATATCTGTATCATATGGAGATTCCCCCGGTACAGCTATTGAAGGCTTCACGAACTACGTAGTCAAAATACATGTTAAATAATGTGGGAGCCAGAGGACATCCCTGTCGCACCCCAAGGTGTACAGGGAATGGCTCTGACTCCCGGCCACGTAGTTTTACCCGGGCCCGCTCACCATCATGAAAGTTCTTAATGATCGTGAGCAGAGCACGAAGAACAACCCAGAGCCCAGGCCTACTGATAGTATCATAGGCCTTGACCAGGTCAATAAAGCAGAGATGTAGGTCTTGCTGGAATTCCCTACACCTCTGCTGTAGCAGACGGACAGAAAATATAACATAGCGCAGCGCGCTAACCGCTACACTATCACTGACACACACACTGACTCACACACACTCTGACTCACACACACTCTGACTCACACACACTCTGATTCACACACACTCTGACTCACACACACTCTGACTGACACACATTCTGACTCACACACACTCGGACTCACACACACACACTGACTCACACACACTGACTCACACACACACTGACTCACACACACTCGGACTCACACACACTCGGACTCACACACACACACTGACTCACACACACTCTGACTCACACACACACTGACTCACACACACACTGACTCACACACACACTGACTCACTTGCTTCCCATGTGGGTAAAACCCGCTCCGACTCCGCGGGCTCAATTAAGATGCCTCGCTCGCCTTCCCTCCCTCCCTCCCTCCCCCCTCCCCTCCTCCCTCCCTCCCTCCCCCCTCCCCTCCTCCCTCCCTCCCCCCTCCCCCCCTCCCTCCCCCCTCCCCCCCTCCCTCCCCCCTCCCCCCTCCCCCCCTCCCTCCCTACCCCCTCCCCCCTCCCTCCCTACCCTCCCTCCCTACCCTCCCTCCCCTCCCTCCCTACCCTCCCTCCCCTCCCTCCCTCCCTCCCTCCCTCCCTCCCTCCCTCCCCTCCCTCCCTCCCTCCCTCCCCTCCCTCCCTCCCTCCCTCCCTCCCTCCCTCCCTCCCTCCCTCCCTCCCTCCCCTCCCTCCCTCCCTCCCCTCCCTCCCTCCCTCCCCTCCCTCCCTCCCTCCCCTCCCTCCCTCCCTCCCCTCCTCCCTTCCTCCCCTCCTCCCTCCCCTCCTCCCTCCCTCCCCTCCTCCCTCCCTCCCTCCCTCCCTCCCCTCCCTCCCTCCCTCACCGTCTCTTTCGTGGTGGTCCCACGCGGAGTGCCCGGCTCGTTAAGGCGGCGCAACCCGCTCGCTCAACCCCCCCCACCCCCGGGGACGAGGGAGGGGGGGTCCCAATTGGGGGTCCCAATTGGCCCCCTACGCCGCCTTAATTATTGATTGACCCGGGAGCTGCGAGTGACGGGGACGGTGTGCGGAGCGGCGGGTGGGTGGCTGAAGGTCATTTCCCCCCTCCCCCCGGTCTCTGACCCCCCCACCTGACCCCCCCACCTGACCCCCCCTCCCCCCAGTCCCTGACCCCCCCACATCCCCCCGCGTGCCCGGCTGGGTTAGCGATTAGATTCCCTCCCGCCTGCAGGGTTGGGTGGAGCCAGGATCGCCCACCACGTTGCGCTCATCGTCACGAACTTGCCAGCCGGGGCAGTCGTGCGCCAATCACAATTAACACAACAACAACAACAACACGCTCCGTGTCAACAACACTGCGACGTTTTGGGCAATGGCCCTTCTCCATGGCACATGTAGCTACTGGAAAACGGTCGCCTATTGCGTGTGTTGTGTGTGTGAATTAGTTTTACAGGCCGTGATCTTGACGAGCATGTTGGGGGGTGGGTAGGTGGTGGTGGAGCGGTGGGGCAGCGGTTAGCGCTTCGCTGCCACCGCCCCTCTCCATTGAAATAGTATGCTGACGAAGCTGCTGCTGATGATGCTGATGATGTTGCTGCTAATACTGATGAAGCTGATGCTGCTGATGAAGCTGGTGCTGGTGCTGCTAATGCAGCAGATGATGATGATGATGAATCTGGGGCTGATGAACCCGATGATGACGCTGCTGTTGATGAAGTTGGTGCTGGTAAAGCTGGTCCTGATGAAGCTAATGATGATGAAGCTGCTGTTGAAGTTGGTGCTGGTACAGCTGATGATGATGATGAAGCTGATGATGAAGAAGCTGATGATGATGATGACGCTGATGATGATGACGCTGCTGATGATGAAGCTGGTGCTGGTACAGCTGATGATGATGAAGCTGATGATGATGATGATGACGCTGCTGATTATGAAGCTGGTGCTGATAAAGCTGGCGCTGATGAAGCTGCTGATGATGAAGCTGCTGTTGATAAAGTTGGTGCTGGTACAGCTGTTGATGATGAAGCTGATGATGATGACGCTGATAATGATGATGACGCTGCCGATGATGAAGTTGGTGCTGGTACAGCTGTTGATGATGAAGCTGATGATGATGACGCTGATGATGATGACGCTGGTGCTGATGAAGCTGGCGCTGATGAAGCTGATGATGATGACGCTGCTGATGATGATGACGCTGCTGATGACGCTGCTGATGATGTTGACGCTGCTGATGATGAAGATGGTGTTGATGAAGTTGGTGCTGGTACAGCTGCTGATGATGATGACGCTGCTGATGATGAAGCTGATGATGATGAAGCTGATAATGATGAAGCTGATGATGATGAAGATGGTGTTGATTAAGTTGGTGCTGGTACAGCTGCTGCTGATGACGCTGCTGCTGCTGACGATGATTGTTTGAACGGCGCTCCAGGCAGCCCTGAACGATTCCCCACAAAGAGCGATGTTAACCAAGAGACTCTGGAGAGGGGGTGGGGTCGATTATAATTAATGAACAACGATTGCAGCCACGGTGGGGGGGGGGGGGGGTGGAATTAGGGGGGAGGGGCAGGCGACACAATTAAAGCATTCTCTCATGCCCGCCCACCACTCAATGCTGTCAATCATCACCGCCAATCAATGGCGAGGTAGATTAGCGGGTGAAGAACCGAGGAGCGGTGGCGCAGTGCTTAGCGCGCCGACAACTGTGAAACCCTGGGGGTAGCCCGCTCACGGCTCACACACTACACTACTTATTTTGTAACTACTATTTTTTTTTAACCCGCTCACGGCTCACACACTACACTACTTATTTTGTAACTACTATTTTTTGTTTAACCCGCTCACGGCTCACACACCACCATCATCACTACTATCACCATCATCATCACTACCATAACCACCATCATCACTATCATCACCACCATCATCACCATCATCATCACTATCATCATCACCACCACCACCACCCATCACCACCCAACCCAAGTCACCAACAAAACATTCCCGTGGTCCAATAATAGGGTTTTTCCCCTTTTTTCTGGCAACAAAACTGAAACCTTTTTACAAGGATTCATGTCTGCATTAACCACAATACCTGCAGTCAAAATGCAAACAAAAACATTATGATAATATATACATTGTCCTGGAAACTGATTGGTCCACACCAAGGGATGGCTTTCTTTGGAGCCTCGACCCAACAGAGGACGCCAAAAAGGCGTCACACAGCTCAAAGACAATGCACTATCAAAGTAATGAGGGCTCGGGGTGAGCATCATTCCCGTGGTCCGTTGAACTCTGCTGTTGGTGGTTAAACCGACAACCCTTGAGCGCTCATCCCCCCCCCACCTCCCTCCCTCCCTCCCTCCCGTCCTGCCCCCTCCCGCTCCCGGTCTCCTCCTCTCAGCTCTACTCGGACCTGGACCACCAGGACGGCTCTGTGAGGTACGTGCTGAGCGGCGAGGGTGCGGGCAGCACCTTCCTCATCGACGAGTACACGGGCGACATCCGCGTGTCAGGCCGCGTGGACCGCGAGCACAAGGCGCAGTACACCCTCGTGGCACAGGCGCTCGACCGCCTGACGGGCACGCCGCTCGAGCCCCGCTCCGAGTTCATCATCAAGGTCCAGGACATCAACGACAACGAGCCGCGCTTCCCCGACGCTCCCTACAGGGCCGTGGTGCCCGAGATGGCCGACGTGGGTACGTGGAGCGCACGTGTTGGCACGCGAGAGGTGTGGGCGGTGGTGGGGAGGGTGGGCGGGGGGGGGGGAGAGGGAGAGAGAGGTGGCAGAGAGAGAGAGAGGTGGGAGAGAAATGAGAGAGAGATGGGGAGAGATGGGTGAAGGATAAGGGAGAGGTGGGGGAGATGGGAGAGATGGGAAATGTAGGTGACAGGTGGGAGAGAGATAGAGAGAGATGGGGAGAGATGGGGGAGAGGTGGGGTAGAGGTGGGGAGAGATGGGGGAGAGGTGGGAGAAGCGTAATAGATGGGAGAAGTGGCGGACAGATAGAAGACAGGTGGCAGATTAATTGGAGATAAATGGGGTGAGAGATGGGAGAGAGATGCGGGAAAGATGGGGAAGACGGGAGAGAGATGATAGAGGTCAGGGAGAGATGGGGGAGAGGCGGGGGAGAGATGGGAGAGAGTTGGAAGAGATCACACAGAGAGAGATATTGGTTAAAGGCGCAGCTCTGCAATGTCTGACGCACGCCACTGCTGGTGCAGCAGGCTGCACTCAAGGCCGCCCCTCTGGAGAGTGTGCACGTGTGTGGGGAGCGGAGATGCAGCGGTTAGCGCAACCCGGCGACACCAACATCGCTTCGCGGCCGCGGCCGACATCAGTGATAGCGAACATCTGAACCGGTCCTGGCCCTCCCTTAGGACTGCTCAGTCTTAATGTACACCTGGTGGGCTATCCGTGGGCGTGTGGGTTTATTAGGCTGCGTGCACCCAGGGCCGGATTGAGATTGTGTTGGCCCCGGGGATACAGGCGCTGTGAGGCCCCCAGTAATGTTTCCAAAAGAAAAAGAAAGTTAAAGAAAAACAAAATGTATTTTTACAAGGTGAACAACAAATGAAATTCACAAGTGAACTAGCTTTTCACTTAATGTCTGGAGGCCCTCCAGCTTGCGGAGGCCGCTGGGCTGCAGCCTCTGAAGCCCCTACGCCTTGATCCGGCCCTCTGTGCCCTGTCCCCTCCCCCCGCCCCCGCAGGCACCTCCGTGATCCGCGTGTCGGCGAGCGACGCGGACGACCCCGCGTACGGGAACAGCGCGAAGCTCGTGTACAGCATGCGCGAGGGACAGCCACACTTCTCCATTGATGCCAAAACAGGTGCCACCACCAGCACCAGCAGTAGCACCACCACCACTACCACCAGCAGTAGCACCACCACCACAACTACCACCAGCAGCAGCACCACCACCACTACCACCACTACCACCACCAGCAGCAGCACCACCACCACAACTACCACCAGCACCACCACCACTACCACCAGCAGCAGCACCACCACCACAACTGCCACCAGCAGCAGCACCACCACCACCACTACCACCAGCAGTAGCACCACCACCAGAACTACCACCAGCACCACCACAACTACCACCAGCAGCAGCACCACCACCACCACCACCACTACCACCAGCAGAACTACTACCACCAGCAGCACCACAGCCAGCACCACAACTACCACCAGCAGTAGCACCACCACCACCGCAACTACCACCAGCAGTAGCACCACCACCACAACTACCACCAGCAGTAGCACCACCACCACAACTACCACCAGCAGCAGCAGCACCACCACCACAACTACCACCAGCAGTAGCACCACCACCACCACCACAACTACCACCAGCAGTAGCACCACCACAACTACCACCAGCACCACCACAACTACCACCACCAGCACCACCACAATTACCACCAGCAATAGCACCACAACTACCACCAGCACCACCACAACTACCACCTAGCACCACCACCACCACAACTACCACTACCAGCACCACCAGCAACAGCAGTAGCACCACCACCACCACCACTACCACCAGCAGTAGCACCACCACCACAACTACCAGCAGCAGCAGCACCACCACCACAACTACCACCAGCAGTAGCACCACCACCACAACTACCACCAGCACCACCACAACTACCAGCAGCAGCAGCACCACCACCACTACCACCAGCAGCACCACCACAGCCAGCACCACATCTACCACCAGCAGTAGCACCACCACCACAACTACCACCAGCAGTAGCACCACCACCACAACTACCACCAGCACCACCACCACCACCACAACCACCACCAGCAGTAGCACCACCACCACAACTGCCACCAGCAGCACCACAGCCAGCACCACAACTACCACCAGCAACAGGACCACCACCACAACTATCACCAGCAGTAGCACCACCACCACAACTACCACCAGCAGCACCACCACCACAACTACCACCAGCAGCACCACCACCACAACTACCACCAGCAGTAGCACCACCACCACCAGCAGCACCACAGCCACCACCACAACTACCACCAGCAGTAGCACCACCACCACAACTACCAGCAGCAGCAGCACCACCACCACAACTACCACCAGCAGTAGCACCACCACCACAACTACCACCAGCACCACCACAACTACCAGCAGCAGCAGCACCACCACCACTACCACCAGCAGCACCACCACAGCCAGCACCACATCTACCACCAGCAGTAGCACCACCACCACCACAACTACCACCAGCAGTAGCACCACCACCACAACTACCACCAGCACCACCACCACCACCACAACCACCACCAGCAGTAGCACCACCACCACAACTGCCACCGGCAGCACCACAGCCAGCACCACAACTACCACCAGCAACAGGACCACCACCACAACTATCACCAGCAGTAGCACCACCACCACAACTACCACCAGCAGCACCACCACCACAACTACCACCAGCAGCACCACCACCACAACTACCACCAGCAGCACCACAGCCAGCACCACAACTACCACCAGCAGCAGCACCACCACCACAACTACCACCAGCAGCAGCACCACCACCACAACTACCACCAGCAGTAGCACCACCACCACAACTACCACCAGCAGTAGCACCACCACCACAACTACCACCAGCAGCAGCAGCAGCACCACCACAACTACCACCAGTACCACCACAGCCAGGCACCACAACCACCACCAGAGGTATCTGTCTCCATCCCTGTCACTTCTCCATGCCCCTGTACTGTGATGGGTCTCTGTCGATTGATTGATTGACCACCACCGATCACCACACCGATTAAACCATCATTACCACCGCTACAACCAACACTGCACCACAACATCACCACATCGATGCAACCGCAACTACCATAACCATCACCACACCGTTACAATCAGAATCACAACCACCATAACCATCACCACGCTGATACAACTACACCCACCACCACCACCACCAGCCAGAGGAGGCCAGCTGGCTTATGGGCTGTAAAATAACCCTCGGAGGATTTACGCCGGTGGGCGGAATTGGGGACGCAGGAGGCGTCTGCTGCCCAGTCGCTTGTTAGAATAATAATAATATTATAATGAATAATACACTCATAATAAACAATAATACACTTATAATACACTTAGAAGAAATAATAATACACGTAAAAATAATAAATTATTTTTAATAGTTATGATTCTGTTTGAACCGGGGAGGAGGGCGCCCAGGCGGTGGGGTGCGTTGCCGCTCTGGGGGGGGGGCAGAGAGAGGAGCCCCCCTCAATTTGTAATTTTGGGGGGCTCGCTGACCCCCCCCCTCCCTCTGAGCCATCGGCTTCCTTGGGGGGGGGGGGGTGGTCACGTGACCGACCAGCCGGATTCACGGCACGAGTCCATCATTCTCTCTCCCTCTCTCCCATTCTCTCTCCTATTCCACCTCTTTCTCTTACTCCGTCTCCCTGTCTCATCCTCTCTCTCATCCTCTCCCCTTCTCTCCCTCTATCTCCTGCTCTCTCTCTCTCGCCCTCTCTCCCTCCTGCGTCCAACTACCCCAGAGTGAGTGAGCCGGCGAGTGAGTGGGCGGGCGTGTGGGTGGGTTGGTTGAGAGTCGGGTGGTAGATGGTTTCACGACACAGACTGGGCTAAAATCGTTTCGTGGTCTATACCCAGAGCTCAATCGCGAAAATTGTAAATTCACTCGTCACGTCACTCCGACCAACTCCTACCCCAGCATCCCACGAGCCCCCCACCCTGCACTCACCCCCTGTGCTCCCCCGTGTTCAGTGCTGCCCCTCAGTCCGTAATGAGTTACCGGAAGGGGGGTGCGCTGAGTAACGTGGCCCTGGGGGGACGTGCGGTTTGAGGGGGGGGGGGAGGTTGCAGGGAGGAAGGGGGAGGGGAGGATGGGGGGGGACAGAGGGAGAGATTGAGAAGGGAGACAGGGGGAGAGAGGTAGCAGAGAGAGAGACGGGGAAGAGCAGGAGATGAGACTGCGAGTAATGCGCGTGGGTGTTTCCTGTAAACTATAAACACCACACGTACTCCACACACACACACACCACACGTACTCCACACACACACACACACCACACGTACTCCACACACACACACACCACGTACTCCACACACACACACCACACGTACTCCACACACACACACACCACACGTACTCCACACACACACACACACCACACGTACTCCACACACACACACACACCACACGTACTCCACACACACACACCACACGTACTCCACACACACACACACCACACGTACTCCACACACACACACACCACACGTACTCCACACACACACACACCACACGTACTCCACACACACACACACCACACGAACTCCACACACACACACACCACACGTACTCCACACACACACACACACCACACGTACTCCACACACACACACACCACGTACTCCACACACACACACCACAACGTACTCCACACACACACACACCACACGTACTCCACACACACACACACACCACACGTACTCCACACACACACACACACCACACGTACTCCACACACACACACCACACGTACTCCACACACACACACACCACACGTACTCCACACACACACACACCACACGTACTCCACACACACACACACCACACGTACTCCACACACACACACACCACACGTACTCCACACACACACACACCACGTACTCCACACACACACACACACCACACGTACTCCACACACACACACACCACGTACTCCACACACACACCACACGTACTCCACACACACACACACCACACGTACTCCACACACACACACCACGTACTCCACACACACACACACACCACGTACTCCACACACACACACCACACGTACTCCACACACACACACACACCACGTACTCCACACACACACACCACGTACTCCACACACACACACACACCACGTACTCCACACACACACACCACACGTACTCCACACACACACACCACGTACTCCACACACACACACACACCACGTACTCCACACACACACACCACACGTACTCCACACACACACACCACGTACTCCACACACACACACACACCACGTACTCCACACACACACACCACACGTACTCCACACACACACACACCACACGTACTCCACACACACACACACCACACGTACTCCACACACACACACACCACACGTACTCCACACACGCACACACCACACGTACTCCACACACACACACCACACGTACTCCACACACACACACACCACACGTACTCCACACACACACACACACCACACGTACTCCACACACACACACACCACACGTACTCCACACACGCACACACCACACGTACTCCACACACACACACCACACGTACTCCACACACGCACACACCACACGTACTCCACACACACACACACCACACGTACTCCACACACACACACACCACACGTACTCCACACACACACACACCACACGTACTCCACACACACACACACCACACGTACTCCACACACACACACACCACACGTACTCCACACACACACACACACCACGTACTCCACACACACACCACACGTACTCCACACACACACACCACACGTACTCCACACACACACACCACACGTACTCCACACACACACACACACACCACGTACTCCACACACACACACACCACACGTACTCCACACACACACCACGTACTCCACACACACACACACACCACACGTACTCCACACACACACACACCACACATACTCCACACACACACACCACGTACTCCACACACACACACACCACACATACTCCACACACACACACCACGTACTCCACACACACACACCACACGTACTCCACACACACACACCACGTACTCCACACACACACACACCACACGTACTCCACACACACACCACACGTACTCCACACACACACACACACCCCACACGTACTCCACACACACACATACCACACGTACTCCACACACACACCACACATACTCCACACACACACCACACATACTCCACACACACACACCACACATACTCCACACACACACCACACGTACTCCACACACACACCACACGTACTCTACACACACACCACACGTACTCCACACACACCACACGTACTACACACACACCACACGTACTCCACACACACACACCACACATACTCCACACACACACCACACGTACTCCACACACACACACCACACGTACTCCACACATACACACCACACGTACTCCACACACACACCACACGTACTCCACACACACACACACCACGTACTCCACACACACACCACACGTACTCCACACACACACACCACGTACTCCACACACACACCACACGTATTCCACACACACACCACACGTACTCCACACACACACACCACACGTACTCCACACACACACACACACGTACTCCACACACACACACCACACGTACTCCACACACACACCACACGTACTCCACACACACACCACACATACTCCACACACACACACACCACACGTACTCCACACACACACCACACGTACTCCACACACACACACCACACGTACTCCACACACACACACACCACACGTACTCCACACACACACACCACACGTACTCCACACACACACCACACGTACTCCACACACACACACACCACACGTACTCCACACACACACCACACGTACTCCACACACACACCACACGTACTCCACACACACACACACCACACGTACTCCACACACACACCACACGTACTCCACACACATACACACAACACACGTACTCCACACACACACCACACATACTCCACACACACACCACACGTACTCCACACACACACCACACGTACTCCACACACACACACACACCACACGTACTCCACACACACACACACACCCTCACCCCCTCCTCACCCTCACACTCTCACCCTCACCCCCTCCTCACCCTCACCCTCTCCTCACCCTCCCACGTCCCGTCACCAACTCCGCCTGCCGTGACTGCCAACTCCCCTCCTCATTTTCCTCCCTCACCCGCACCTACCCCCACCCCCACCCTCCCTCCATTTAAAGAGTCAACGCTATGGATCCATTGAATATTTGATCGTGACTTTTACCCCCCGCACCCATCTCGCCCCCCCAGGCGTGATCCGCACGGCGCTGCCCAACATGGACCGCGAGGTGCGCGACTCCTACAAGCTCGTGGTGGAGGCCAAGGACATGGCCGGGCAGCGCGGGGGCCTCACCGGCACGGCCACCGTCAGCGTCTCCTTGGGGGACATCAACGACAACCCCCCGAGATTCACCAGGAGTGAGCACGCGCACCCACATACACGCACTGTCAACCCATCCGGTTTACCCCGTATTCTTGTACAGGGAAATTGAGTTTTCAGATCCATACGGCGTACAGCCGTTTCAATACGGAAAAAAAAAAATGTTTGCCTTTGTTTGTGTTTCTCCCTTGTGATGGGACGTTGTAGAATGAACGTTGAGATTTATAAGGGCACGGGGTGACCAATAAGGTCTGGCACTGAAAAGGGGTTGACAGGTATGGTACACACAAACACAAAGACAAAGATCCCCCATATAACGTTAACAGACTGTTGGGGCAAGTGCTGTTTAGCGAGCACCTACGAAGGCCGGCATAGCACACAAGGGGGTGGGTGGCTATCACCTCGCCTGGCCGTCTTTGTCTCCCTAGTGGCGATGTTTACATACTGTAGTAGGTACTCATTTCAGGCTTAATCGACTGTACACACACACGTATTCACACACACCCACAAAGACACAACAACCGCCATTCGCCACTAAGTTGTGGTGACATTACCGCAATGCTTGTGCCAGGCTATGTGCACGTTGAGGCCAGCTGAAGTATCAAACGCCCGCTAGTAGGAGGTCCTGGGGCAGACCCAGGTGTCATGGGTCGACTGAATGAGATTATGGGCGATTCATCACCTGTGCCCCCTACTTTGCTAACTTGCTGTATTTTAGCCGCTCGGCACTCCGCTCGTTTTTGTGAGCATCGCTCCTCCGCCCTCCGTTGTTGTTGGAGGTCGACTGCCTCAAACTGCCAAGCAGCGGCGTCCTTCACGAGCCTCCTCCATAGTGGCCGATCTTGACACAGCTGGTACCAGTCATTGGCAAGTCCACTCAACTCCACATCCTCTTGTAACACATCACTCCATCTCTTCTCTAGCCCATGCCATGCCCAATTAGCCCCTTGGATCCAGCTGTTTAGGCATGCGGTGGCTGAGCATGCGGGCGACATGAACCAGCCAATGCAGCCTTGCCTGCCGGAGGAGCTCACCAATGAGACTTTGTCAAGATCTTTCAAGGATATGTGAGCTCCTCACGCAATCCAGCCTCGTTAAACCCAGGATGGATCGTAGGCAGGCCAGCCTAAATGTTTCTAACTGGCAAAGATCTTCCGTTAGGGGGGTCCACGTTTCATAAAGAAGGGAGGGAATGACTGTGTCCAAGAAGACCCGAGGCTTCGTGCAGAGTGACAGAGCAGGTAGATTCCACACAGCGTTACGCAACTGATGAAAAGATAATGCCGCTCGACTTATTCGGAGTGAGACCTCTGCTGTCACACCGGAGCCGATCATGAGCACACTGCCCAGGTATGGGACACTCTGCACTCTCTCCATAACTGCCCTATCACCAATTGGCAGTTGTGGGGGTGGAGTGTCCAATGGTACAAAATACCCATGCAGGTCCTTAGTTTTGGTGGGGCTGATGGTAAGTCCCCACCTCTTAGTAGCAAGCTACAGGTTTAGCAGCAGCGCCTCCAACTCCTCTTCAGAGTGAGCAGCAATTACCAGATCATCGGCATACATAACATGGTTGAGCAATAGGGAGCCATCCAATCTAGATTTGAAGTTTCCGTGACTGCACCCGTGCATCGATCAGCCTCCCAGTGTATCTGTACCAGATGGAAATTCCTCCGGTACAGCTATTGAAGGCTTCACGAACTACGTGGTCGAAATAGATGTTAAATAATGTGGGAGCCAGAGGACATCCCTGTCGCACCCCAAGGTGAACAGGGAATGGCTCCGACTCCCGGCCACGTAGTTTTACCTGGGCCCGCTTACCATCATGAACATCGTTAATGATCATGAGCAGCAGGTCAGGGACTCCGAAAGCACGAAGAACAACCCAGAGCCCAGGCCTACTGATGGTATCGTAGGCCTTGACCAGGTCAATAAAGTAGAGATGTAGGTCTTGTTGAAATTCTCTATACCTCTGCTGTAGCAGACGGACAGAAATATGGCATCTGTGCAGGACCGCCCTTTCCTGAAACCACATTGGGGCTCTACATGCCTCTCCTCAGCGTGCCTGGCAAGACAATGTTGAATTATCCTTTCCAGGACCTTTCCCGACACACTGAGGAGTGAGATGCCCCTTGTAGTTGTTACAATCTGTGCGGTCCGCCTTCTTAAAGAGGGGGACCACCAGGGCATCCTTCCAATCCTGCAGAACCCATCCAGTGGTCCAGACTGTTGTTATGATGTGATGTAGGGCAGTCTGTGCACAAACGCCACCCTTCCTCAGCATTTCGCTTGGGAAATCATCTATGCCCGGTGCCTTTCCTGGTCTTAGGCTCTGGATCGCCCTCAGTACTTCCTCAACAGATGGCACCTCAACCAGCCATTCACAGGGTGTGATTTCTTCTTCCCATAATTGAGGAACCATAGCATCAGCAGGGTCATCCCCACTTTGTCCCACAATGTTTTCCAGGCTGAGGGATTTCCTCTCCCCCAGGACCTCACAGAAATGTTCAGCAAATCTGCAAACCTGTTCCTGGGGGTCGAAGATTGGATCACCGTTCTTTTCCCTAATGATGGTAATAGATGTGGTGCTGCAGGTTACTTTTTTAATGGAGGTAAAAAGCGATTTGTGATCGCAGGCCATTGAGGCAGACTCCATCTTCTCAGCAACCCGCGACCACCGACCATCCTTGCAGCGCCTCACGGCTCTCCGAATCTCTGATTGAAGGCAGTGGTAAGCCTCCTCATTCTCTGATGTGGGATGCTGTAAATGATGAGTGCGTCTGTCGCTTTTTCTCAGCCAACGTGAACACCTCCTTTGTCAGCCAGGGTCTCCGGGGAGGTCTGGTCCACGTACCCAAAGCAGCCATTGCAGCTGCATAAGACACAGTCCTAAACCTCGCCCATTTCCCCTCGACATCAGGAGGAGTGGGGGACGATGCCAACCCCAGCCACAAGCGATGATGAAATTCTCGCTTTCTACTTTCATCAGCTAGCTGAGACCATGCCACTATGGGTTTGAATGGGGTCCTGGAAGAATGGCAGGCGCATCTACAGATGACAAGTCGATGGTCAGTGGGCAGATCAGCTCCACGGTAGGTCCTGGTGTCAAGGACATGGGCCCGCATCCGCTATTCCGTCACTATGTAGTCCAGCAGATGTTCTTGCTTGGACCCGGCATACATCCATGATATTGTGTGGAAGCGCCGATGCCAGAACAGCGTGTTGGTAATTACAAGCCCATGGGCTGCACAAAAATCTAGCAGCCTCCTACCGTTGTTTTTCAGCTGATCTGGCCCATGCCTTCCAATCACTCCAGACCAGGTGCTAGCATCGTGACCAACTCGGGCATTGAAGTCACCCAACAAGATGACTCTATCCCGAGGGGCCACTTTAGCCAGCACCTGTAACAGGAGGTCATAGAAGGCATCTGACTCATCAACCTTGCCTGCATCCCTCCACGGATGTTCGTCTTCAGTGGGGGCATAAGTAACCACGACCACCACTCCTCACCTCTGGTTGATGGGAAGGCGAGCCCAAAGTAGTCTGGGGCTTACAGCTCACCGCCATGCTCCCATGCCGCATTCATTCTTTTGTTGAGAAGAAGAGCCACTCCCTGTTGTTTGGTTGTTTCCTGCCCCGAGTAGTGGACCGTCCACACCTCTTGGTTGAATGGAGCCAGAGGCGGTCCGGTCCACCGGACCCCCTGAATACTACAGAGATCCAGGCGGTACCGGTCCAGCTCCCGACAGAACAGTGGCAGGCTCTCTGCCGCAGTGAGCGTTCGAACATTCCACGTGGCCATCCCTAGAGGCGTTTTATTGATTCTGGAGGAGCCCCGAGGGTAAGTATTCAGTCTCCTGGCTCCGCCAAATGGGGTTTGGCCAGGAGACGTCATGGACGTCTCATCAGCAGCAGCGGCATAGCCAGACTGGCTTGCCTGCTTACTGAGCCAATGCGGCTGCCCGATGTTGTTTGAGGCCAGGTCCCAAATAACTGGACCTCTGTGAAGAAGAGCTTTATAGCTTATCGGATTCCTCCAGTAAAAATATTCTGACAGATCTGGATTCCAGCAAATACGTTGCACATACACTGTACATACAAGCGGTTGTACTTAGCCTACTCCATACTGGCCGGTACCGCTGGGAAGAGGTGGGAGTGCCCACACCGCCCCTACTGCCAGCAGAGGCGGTGGAGTGCCGTTTTCAGAGAACGCTTGCCAATTGGTTCAACCGCCACGTGCCAGGAGACGGACATACAGGGCGACCGGCCACGTGGCCCCAAAGGGGGTGCAGGCGCCTCGTGAGAAGGCGTCTCCAGACTCGGCGAGGCTCTCGCGGCGTCTGCGATGGTGACGACACAGGGAGGGAGTGGGAGAGGGGGGACGAGGGGAGGGGCCTGGCGCTAGAACCCCAGTCTGCCTCCCCTCGCCCCTCCCCGTGATAATCACGCTCGCACTACCCTGCGTCACTCGCACTTCACTTTAACTCCCTCCCTCTCTCCCCCGTCTCCCTCCACTCTCCCCATCTCCTTCCCTCTCTCCCCTCCTTCTCCCCATCTCCCTCTCTCTCCATCTCCCTCTTATCTCCCTCCCCTTTCCCCATCTCCCTCCCTCTCCCCTTATCTCCCTCTACTCTCCCCATCTCCCTCTCTCCATCTCGCTATCTCCCCTTCTCCCCATCTCCCTCTCCCCGTCTCCCTCCTTCTCCCCATCTCCCTCTCCCCATCTCCCTCCCTCTCCCCATGTCCCTCTCCCCGTCTCTCGTCGCCGCTCTCATTGACTCCGGAAGCCGCTGCCGAGACGGATCCTCAGTGATTGCGTCGCGCGGTCACGTGGCCCAGCGTGGGGAGCGGTGGCGCAGCGGTTAGCGCGCTGTGCTGCTCCTGGACGAACCCGATTCCCGCTCGCGGTCACCACCACACCACGGATGATTATGTAAACCGGTCCTGGGCCTCGCCTAGGTAGACTCAGCCGCAAAAAACAGTATCTGGTGTGATGTATAAAACAGCGCTAATGGGGAGACAAAGGCGGCTGGGCGTGGTGCTGACCAGCGACTCCCTCGTGTGCCACAATGCCGACCTTCATAGGTGCTCGCGAACAGCAATGTCCCAACAGTCTGTCGAGGCTTCACGGGGGATCTTTGTCTTTGTATATGTGTACTGAGTGTTTAATGGCATCCACGTGACACCCCCCCCCCCCCCCGTGCCCTTTGTATCCCCGTGCCCTGTATCACCCCCACACTCTCCCCCCCTACCTCCCCCGTTTCACCCACCCCTCCGTGCCCCCCACCCCCAGACACGTACCAGATGTCCGTGTCGGAGTTGGCCCCCGTGGGCACCACGGTGGGGGGGGTGCTCGCCACGGACGCCGACGTGGGAGAGAACGCGCGCTTCTCCTACAGCATCGTAGGGGGCAGCGACACCTTCAACATCCGCACCGAGGCCGGCTCGCGCGAGGGGTTCATCACCCTCAAGCAGGTGACGCCGGGGGGCGGGGGCGGGAGGGGGGTAGGGGGGGAACGGGGAGGGGGTAGGGGGGACAGGGGGCATCATCATCCTGGAGGGCAGTAGGGGCAGGGGGGGGCAGGGCGGATCATCACCCTCAAGCAGGTGACGCGGGGGAGCGGGGGGGCAGGGGGGCTTAAAAACACATTGGGGGGTGGGTTGCTCGAGCAGTGGCTAGGCCGGCACCAGGGTGGCACGCCAACGATCCCGTGACGTCGTCGGCACGAGTCGGCCGCTGGGTGCTGGCATCAGGCCCTGAGGAGCCGCCATTAAATCTCCCCCCGAGTTCTGCGCTCCTCTGTATGTGAAGGCGTTCTCAGGCCAATTGACCGAAAACGCCTTCACATACCGAGGGCCGTGCGGGAGGAAAGTGGAACCCACGCATTGCGCGAGGGGGCAAGGCTCTATCCTCGTACAGATGGAAACAGTTGCAGATTAGTCCACTCGCTGTGCCGCCTTCTCTAGGGCACGGCTGCTCCTCCTCGACGCCCACGGGGAAGGGAGTTTCACAGCCCATCTGTGTGCGATCCACCAACCCTCGCAGCACTGGGTCACAGCAACCACGTGCAGCGTGGCCACCACCACTACCTCCACCGCCACGACCACCTCCACCAACACCACCACCTCCACCACCACCACCACTACCTCCACCGCCACGACCACCTCCACCAACACCACCACCTCCACCACCACCACCACTACCTCCACCGCCACGACCACCTCCACCAACACCACCACCTCCACCACCGCCACTACCATGGAGGCTGGCAAGCGATGACGATCGCGATGATGATGTGCCCCCCCCCCCCCCTCCCTCCACCAGCCGCTGGACTACGAGAGCCGCCGCTCCTACTTCCTCAAGGTGGAGGTGCAGGGCCCGGGCCCCGAGGGCCGCGCCGCCGCCGCCGCCGTGGGCCCCTTCCGCGACGCCACGAGCGTGACGGTGTCGGTGGACGACGGCGACGAGGCCCCGGCCTTCTCCCCGGCCGAGCGCTCGCTGGAGCTGCGCGAAGACGCGGCGCGCGGCCGCCTCCTGGCCACGCTGGTGGCCCGAGACCCCGACACTGCCGGCGTGCCTGTCAGGTGACCACCCCGCTCGCTTGCTCGCTCGCTCGCTCGCATGGAACTCGCTCGCTCGCCCGCCCGGCCGCTCGTTATCTGGCTTCAAAAGCCAACTGCTGTTCAAGGCCGATCCCTCGGTGGTGTTATTGTTGTTGGTGGTGGTGTGGCTCTCCCTCTCGGACGCGGCGGTGGTGGTGTGATTGACCACTCAGTGGTGGTAGTGGTGGTAGCGTGGTCATACTCTCGTTGGGGGTGGTGTTGTGGCTGACCCTGGTGGTGGTCCGGCTGACCCCCTGGTGGTGTGACCGATCCCACCCCACCCCCCCCCCCAGGTACTCCATCGACCGCAGCACGGACCCGGAGGGCCACTTCCAGATCGACGGAAGCAGCGGTGCGCTGACGCTGGCGCGGGAGCTCGACCGGGAGACGCGCGCGTGGCACAACCTCTCGGTGATCGCCACGCAGACCGGTGGGTGCGGGGCGCCAACCGCACCGGGCGCACGCTCAGGCGCAGAGAGCCCAGATAGCCCACGCGCGCCGCTGGGGCAAGGGCGCGCCAGCGGACGCCCCCTCCCGCCCCTGCGAACGTGCGGGAGGTGGTGGTGAGGCTGGGAACGCCGTGGTCTGTCCACTGCTAGATGAAAGCCTCGACTTGCTCATCGCTACTGCCACGCAGGGAGGGGGCAGAGGGGGAGACAGAGGGGGGGGTGGGAGACAGAGAGGGGGGGGGGGGTGGGAGACAGAGAGGGAGGGGGTGGGAGACAGAGGGGGGGGGGTGGGAGACAAAGAGGGGGGGGTGGGAGACAGAGAGGGGGGGGGGGGGGTGGGAGACAGAGGAGGGGGGAGTGGGAGACACAGAGAGGAGGGGGGGTGTGAGACAGAGAGGGGGGGGGAGACAGAGAGGGGCGGGTGGGAGACAGAGAGGGGGGGTGGGAGACAGAGAGGGGGGGGGGTGGGAGACAGAGAGGGGGGGGTGAGACAGAGAGGGGGGGGGTTGGGAGACAGAGAGGGGGGGTGGGAGACAGAGAGGGGGGGGTGGGAGACAGAGAGGGGGGGGTGGGAGACAGAGGGGGGGGAGTCGGAGACAGAGAGGGGGGGGTGAGACAGAGACAAAGAGAGAGGGTGGTGTGAGACACAGAGAGAGAGTTTCACATTGAGTCTGTGCGACCACGTTATACCTCGACAGAGACCAGGGACCCCTCACCGGCCTCCCGCCCCCCTGCCCCCCACTATGCCCCCCCCCCCCCCCCCGTGCGGTGCGTGTAGACGAGGCGGCGCTGTCTGGCCGGGGCCGCGTGTCTCTGCGCGTTCTGGACGTCAACGACAACGCCCCTGTGCTGGAGCTGCCGGCAGAGGCGCTCGTCTGTGAGGGGGCGCGGGCTGGACAGGTGGGGGGCCCGGGGGGGGGGGGCAGGGGGGCAGGGGGGCAGGGGGGGCAGGGGGGCAGGGGGCGCAGGGGGGCAGGGGGGGCAGGTGACACTCGCGCCGCCTCCCGGCCACAAGCGCCTGGGTTTGGTTCCCGACTCGGGCGTCCACTCAGTGTGGAGTTTGTGCGCTTTCCCCTGTTCAGCAGAGTGTGAGTCTGTGAGTGTGAGTCTGTGAGTGTGAGTCTGTGAGTGTGAGTCTGTGAGTGTGAGTCTGTGAGTGTGAGTGAGAGTCTGTGAGTGTGTGAGTCTGTGAGTGTGAGAGTGTGAGTCTGTGAGTGTGAGTCTGTGAGTGTGAGTCTGTGAGTGTGAGTCTGTGAGTGTGCGTGTGTGAGTGTGTGAGTGTGGGTGAGAGTCTGAGTGTGAGTCTGTGAGTGTGTGAATCTGTGAGTGTGAATCTGTGTGAGTCTGTGAGTGTGTGAGTGTGAGTGTGTGAGTGTGAGTCTGTTAGTGTGAGTCTGTGAGTGTGAGTCTGTGAGTGTGAATCTGTAGTGTGAGTGTGAATATGTGAGTGTGTGAGTGTGTGAGTGTGAGTGTGAATCTGTGAGTGTGAGTCTGTGAGTGTGAGTCGGTGAGTGTGAGTCTGTGAGTGTGTGAGTGTGAGTCTGTGAGTGTGTGAGTCTGTGAGTGTGTGAGTGTGTGAGTGTGAATCTGAGAGTGGGAGTCTGTGAGTGTGAGTCTGTGAGTGTGAATCTGTAAGTGTGAGTCTGTGAGTGTGAGTGTGAGTCTGTGAGTCTGTGAGTGTGTGAGTCTGAGTGTGAGTCTGTGAGTGTGAGTCTGTGAGAGTCTGTGACTGAGAGTCTGTGAGTGTGAGTCTGTGAGAGTCTGTGACTGAGAGTCTGTGAGTGTGAGTGTGTGAGTCTGTGAGTGTGTGAGTGTGAGTCTGTGAGTATGTGAGTGTGAGTCTGTGAGTGTGAGTCTGTGAGTGTGAGTGTGAGTCTGTGAGAGTCTGTGACTGAGAGTCTGTGAGTGTGAGTCTGTGAGTGTGTGAGTGTGAGTCTGTGAGTGTGAGTCTGTGAGTGTGTGAGTCTGTGAGAATCTGTGACTGAGAGTCTGTGACTGAGAGTCTGTGAGTGTGAGTCTGTGACTGAGAATGTGTGAGAGTGCGGAGTGTGTAAGTACGTATGTGTGAGTGTGTGTGAACGAGTCTGTTAGTGAGTGTGTGTGAGTGAGTCTATGAGTGACAGTGTGAGTGAGTGAGTCAGTAAGAGTGCGGAGTGTTGGGTAAAGTGGCGCAGTGATCAGCACGCTGCACTCCCAACCCCGTCACTCCAGTTCAATTCCCACTCACGGCCATTAGTGACAATTATCTGAACCGGTCTTGGGCCTCTCTCAAGGTCAACTCAGCCCCAAATGGGTACCTGGTGCAGAGAGTAAACATCGCTACTGGGAGCACAAGACGGTCGGACGTGGGGCTGGCCACCCGCCCCCTCGTATGCTACTCGCTGACAGCACTTGTCCCAACAGCCTGCCAAGGCTACACGGGGGATCTTTGTCTTTGGAGTGTGTACGATCTCCCGTGTTCCTGCACGGCTTCCCGGTTCTCCGCCTCCACCTCCCACAGCCGAGCCGATCGCGCACAGAGCGAGAGAGAGTCGCTGTGAGTGGGGGGGGTGATGTAGCGGCGGTGTAGCGGTTACTGTGCCGCGCTACGAACCCGCGACCGGAGTTCGATTCCCGTTCACGGCCAACACGAGTGACGATTATCTGAACCGGTTCTGGGCATCGCCTAGGTCGACTCAGCCTCAATTGAGTACCTGGTGCTATGTGTAAAAAAACACATTGCCACTAGGGAGACAAAGGCGGCCGGGCGTGGTGTTGGCCACCCACCCCCTCGTGTGCCGTGCCGGCCTTCGCAGGTGCTCGCTGACAGCGCTCGCCTCAACAGTGTGTTAAGGCTACACGGGGGTTCTTTGTCTTAGTCTTTGTCTTCGTGGGGGTAATGATGATGATGATGACGTCGCCGTCGCCACTGCGCACACAGCTGGTGTACACGCTGAGTGCACGCGATGAGGACGAGTCGTCACCCCCTTCCGGCTTCCGCTTCTCGCTCAACCCGGACTCCTCCGACAACTTCACCCTGCGGGACAACCTCAGTGAGTGCCCCCCCCCCCCCGCTCCTCCTCTACGTGTGTCCACCCCTCACATGTATCACCCCCCCCCGCTCCTCCTCTACGTGTGTCCACCCCTCACATGTATCACCCCCCCCCGCTCCTCCTCTACGTGTGTCCACCCCTCACATGTATCACCCCCCCCCCCCCCGCGTGACCTCCACGTGTCCCATCACCCCCACACGTCCCTCTCATTCTTCTCCTCCCCCTCTCCTCTCTCTGCCCCTCTCTCGTCCCCCTCTCCACCCCCCGACCCTCTCCCCGTAGACGGCACGGCCGCCCTCTTCACCCGCCGCCGCCTCTCCGGCCGCGCCGGCGGCGGCGGCGGCGCCGCGGGGGGGGGGCTGCTGCTGCCGCTGGGGGTGTCCGTGTCGGACGGGGGGGGGGCCCCCGGGGCCGCGCCACGCCACGGGGACGCTGGCGGTGCGCCTCTGCGCCTGCGCCGAGCGCGACGGCGCCCTGCACGTGGCCTGCAGCGCCCAGCAGCCCGTCGTGGTGCTCGCCGGGGTCGGCACCGAGGCCCTCGTCGCCCTCCTCGCCTGCATCCTCATCCTCCTCGGTGCGTGGGCGGGGGGGGGGGTGGGCGCATCGTCACGGAGGGGCGGGCAAAGCGAGCGAGCTCCGGGGAGCATCGCCGACGCGCGGCCGGTTTCGTTCCCGCGCGTGAGAGATCGTGGTCCGGCGCCGTAGGAACGTGGAGTGCCCCCCCCTCCCCCTCCCCCGCCCCTCCCCCGCCACCGCAGTGCTCGTCGTGCTCTTCGTCGCCCTGCGCCGGCGTCGGAAGGAGCCGCTCGGCAGCGGCCGACGAGGAGGAGATCCGGGGAGAACATCATCGCGTACGACGACGAGGGCGCGGGGAGGAGGACACGCGCGCCTTCGACATGAGCGCCCTGCGCACGCTGCAGGCCGGCCTCGTCCGCCAACCCCTCCTCCACCGCCTTCGACGCCGCCGCCGCCGCCGCCGGCGCCAAACAACGCCGGCACCGCCGCGGGCGCGCTGTGCTGCTTGCGCCAGGACGTCCCTCCCGTCGTGGTCGGGCTCCAGCAGAAGCTGGGCCCGCCTCCACCGCCTCCTCCTCCTCCTCCTCCAGCCGCACCTTCCACCGCCACCAGCGGCAGCACGAGCCATCGCCATCATCATTACCACCACCAGCATCAGCAGCAGCAATCAGCAGCAGCAGCAGCATGGCACGGGTGACATGCAGGGCTTCATCGCGGGGCGCGTGCGGGTGGCGGACTGCGACCCGCTGGCTCCGCCGTACGACTCCATGCAGGTGTACGCCTACGAGGGCGCCGGCTCGGCCGCCGACTCGCTCAGCTCGCTCAGCTCCTGCGCCGGGGACGCCGAGGGCCCCCCCGGCGGAGGGGGGAAGGCCCCGGGGGGGGCGCCGGCGGGGGGGGGCCCGACGGGGAGCAGGGCTACGACTTCCTGCACGAGTGGGGGCCGCGCTTCCAGCGGCTCGCCGAGATGTACGGCGCCGGTGATGACGACGTGCAGTGAGGAGGTGGAGAGGAGGACGAGAAGGAGGAGGTGGTGGAGAAGATTCGAGGAGGATGAGGGGGGAGTGGGGGTTTAGTTTGGGTGATAATGATGATGGTATGGATAATCATGGTGGGTTGTGATGAACATGATGGTGGTGATGAACATGGTGGTGGTGGTGGTGATGAAGATAATGATGGTGATGATGATGGTGATGATGATGGTGGTGATGAAGATGATGAAGATGATGAAGATGATGATGGTGATGATGGTGGTGGTGGTGATGAAGATGATGATGGTGATGATGGTGATGATGATGATGGTGTTTGCGGGGATGCAGTCGTTAGGGGACATTGAGGGTACAGCCGGATGACGTGCGGGGGGGGGGGTTGTGGGGGGGGTTGTAGGGGGGGGTTGTGGGGGGGGGGTTGTAGGGGGGGGTTGTGGGGGGGTGGCAGGGCCTGACGCCGTCAACTGAGCGGTAACTGGGGGCTGGCCGTGAGTGAGCGGTGAGCCGAGTGGGGGGAGCGTCTCGTGGCCTCGACTCACGCTGCCATGGGGGGGGGGGGCACAGTCAAAGTGGACTCCGGCTGAGAAGCCCCCCCCCCCTTAACCCCCACCTTCACATCACGACTGGACACGCAGCGGCATCATCATCAGCAGCAGGCCGAGAGAGTTGCGGTTGAGATTGTGGTGTGTGGCGAGCCCTCCCCCCCTCGTGCCACACAAGACAGCAAACCACCGCTCACCACTGAGTGGCGGTGACGGCGCTACGGCGCGCCTGTGCCAGGCTAGGTGCACCTCGAGCCTGTCGCGTGAAGTGTGGAAGGATCTCACTGCTGCTGTTGGCAGGAGGAGAAGGTCACGGGACAGACCCAGTGCACCATGTGTTGTCTCGCTGAGGTGACTGGCAGACGCACCAGCCGTGCCCCCCACTGTGCCAACTAAGAAACACAGACACACACAGTAAGACAGACACAGACAACAACAACCGCCATTCGCCACTAAGTGGCGGTGACGTCACCACGACGCTTGTGCCAGGCCATGTGCACCTTGAGGCCACGTGAAGTGTCGAACGCCCGCTGGCAGGAGGTCACGGGGCAGACCCAGGTGCCACGGGTCGACTGACTGAGACGACTGGCTGATGCACCACCTGTGCCCCCTACTGTGCCAACCTGCTGTGCTTTAGCCACCCGGCGCTCCGCTCGTTATTGTGAGCGTCGCTCCTCCGCCCTCCGTTGTTGGAGGGCGACTGCCTCCAACTGCCCGGTAGCGTCCTTCACGAGCCTCCTCCACAGAGGCCAATCTTGACACCGCTGGTACCAGTCATCGGCAAGTCGACTCAGCTCCACGTCCTCCTGTACCACATCACTCCATCTCTTCTCTAACCCGTGCCGCGCCCGTTTAGCACCCTCGATCCGGCCGAACAAAAGCTGTTTCAGCATGCGGTGGCTGGGCATGCGGGCTACATGACCCAGCCAACGCAGCCTTGCCTGCCGGAGGAGCTCACCGATGGGACCTTGCCCAGATCTTTCAAAGATTTGTGAGCTCCTCACACAATCCAGCCTGGTTAAACCCAGGATGGATCGTAGGCAGGCTAGCCTAAATGTTTCTAACCGGCGAAGATGTTCCATTAGGGGGGTCCATTTTTCACAAGCGTAGAGAAGGGAGGGAATGACCGTGGCCGAGAAGACCTGAGGCTTAGTGCGGAGCGACAGACCAGGTAGCTTCCACACAACCGATGAAAAGATATTGCCACTCGACTGATTCGGAGTCAGACCTCTGCTGTTAAACTGGAGCCGGTCATAAGCACACTGCCCAGGTATGGGAAACTCTCCACTCTCTCCACAACTGCCCCATCACCGATTTGGAGTTGTGGGGGTGACTCACACACACTCTGACTCACACACACTCTGATTCACACACACACTGACTCCCTTGCTTCCCATGTGGGTAAAATCCGCTCCGACTCCGCGGGCTCAATTAAGATGCCTCTCTCGCCTCCTCTCCCTGGGGGTGGAGTGTCCGATGGTACAAAATAACCAGGCAGGTGCTTAGTTATGGTGGGGCTGATGGTAAGGCCCCATCTCTTAGTGGCACGCTCCAGTCTCACCAGCAGCGTCTCCAATTCCTCCTCTGAATGAGCAGCTATTACCAAATCATCGGCTTACATAACGTGGTTGAGCAATAGGGAGCCATCCTTTGACCGCACCCGGGCATCGATCAGACTTCCATTATATCTGTACCAAATGGAGATTCCCCCGGTACAGCTATTGAAGTCTTCACGAACTACGTGGTCAAAATAGATGTTAAATAATGTGGGAGCCAGAGGACATCCCTGTCGCACCCCAAGGTGTACAGGGAATGGCTCTGACTCCCGGCCACGTAGTTTTACCCGTGCCCGCTCACCATCATGAAGGTTCTTAATGATCATGAGCAGAGAGTCAGGGACTCCAAAAGCACGAAGAAGAACCCAGAGCCCAGGCCTACTGATGGTATCATAGGCCTTGACCAGGTCAATAAAGCAGAGATGTAAGTCTTGCTGGAATTCCCTACACCTCTGCTGTAGCAGACGGACAAGGCGATGTTGAATAATCCTTACCCCTGTAGTTGTTACAGTCTGTGTGGTCCCCCTTCTTAAAGAGGGGGACCACCAGGGCATCCTTTCAATCCTGCGGAACCTGTCCAGTGGTCCACACTGTTGTTATGATGTCATATAGGGCAGTCTGTGCACAAACGCCACCCTCCCTCAGCATTTCGCTTGGGAGATCATCTCGGCCCACTGCCTTTCCTGGTCTCAGACTCCGGATCGCCTTCAGTACTTCCTCAACAGATGGTACTTCAGCCAGCCACTTACAGGGGGTGACTTCTTCCAATATTTGAGGCACTGCAGCCTCAGCAGGGTCACCCCCACTTTGTGCCACGATGTTTTCCTGGCTGAGGGATTTCCCCTCCTCCAGGACCTCACAGAAATGCTCAGCAAATCTGCATATCTGTTCCTGGGGGTCTGAGATTGGATCACCGTTTTTTCCCCTAATGATGGTAATAGGTGTGGCGCTGCAGGTTACTTTTTTGATGGAGTTAAATAGAAATTTGTGATCGCGGGCCACTGAGGCAGACTCCATCTCCTCAGCAACCCGCGACCACCACCCATCCTTGCAGCGCCTCATGGCTCTCCGAACCTCCGAGCGAAGGCTGCGGTAAGCCTCCTCATTCTCTGACGTGGGATTCTGTAGCCGATGACAGTGGGCCTGTCGCCTTTTCTCAACCATCCTGAACACCTCCTCTGTCAGCCAGGGTATCTGGGGAGGTCTGGACCGTGTACCCAAAGCAGCCATTGCAGCTGCATGGGTCACTGTCCTAAACCTCGCCCATTTACCCTCGACATCAGGAGGAATGGGGGACGATGCCAACCCCAGCCGCAAGCGATGATTAAATTCTTGCTTGCAACTTTCATCAGATAACTGAGACCAGGCCACTTTAGGTTGTAATGGGGTCCTGGGTGTACACCCACCACCGGAGTGGAAGAATGGCAGGCGCATCTTATAGATGACTAGTCGATGGTTAGAGGGCAGATCAGCTCCACGGTACGTCCTGGTGTCAAGGACATGGGCTCGCATCCGCTGGTTCGTCACTATGTAGTCCAGCAGATGTTCTTGCTTGGAGCCGGCATGCATCCATGATGTTGTGTGGATGTGCCGATGCCGGAACAGGGTGTTGGTAATTACAAGCCCATGGGCTGCACAAAAATCTAGCAGCTTCCTACGGTTGTTATTGAGCTGATCTGGCCCATGCCCTCCAATCACTCCAGACCAGGTGCCAGCATCATGACCAACTCCGGCATTGAAGTAACCCAACAAGATGACTCTATCCCGAGGGGCCACTTTAGCCAGCACCTGTGACAGGAGGTCATAGAAGGCATCCGACTTATCAGCTTTGCCCGCATCCCTCCACGGATGTTCGTCTTTGGTGGGGGCATAAGTAACCACGACCACCACTCCTCGCCTCCGGTTGATGGGAAGGTCAGCCCAAATTAGCCTGGGGCTTACAGCTTCCCACACCTCACCGCCACGCTCCCACGCACCCTTCATTCTTTTGTTCAAAAGAAGAGCCACACCCTGTTGTTTGGCAGTCTGCTGTCCCGAGTAGAGGACTGTCCACCCCTCATGGTGGCAGCAGCCAGAACCGGTCCACCGGATCTCCTGAATGCCACACAGATCCAGGCGGTATCAGTCCAGCCTCCGACAGAGGAGTGGCAGCCTCTCCTCCGCAGTGAGCGTTCGAACATTCCACATGGCCACACGAAGTGGCTTTTCGTTATTTCTGGAGGAGCCCCGAGGGTAGAGATTCAATCTCCTGACTCCGCCAATTGGGGTTTGGCCAGGTTGACGTCACAGACGCCTGTCCCCCCGGAGCCTCCGGCACAAGCTTATTAGTTACATATTTCAGTCGTGATTTAGTGGTACATTTTTGAAGGTGGAGGGGTTACCAGCCCATTGCACCCGTCCAGAGCCCCCGTTTAGCCACTGTGGTGGTCACAAACGCCATGAGGGGAGGAGCCAATCGGAATTGGCCCTCCCCCCACAGCACTGTCCACGACAGAGTTGCCCGTCCGGCACCGCGAGGAGGTAGGGGGTTGTTTTGCGGCACAGTAAGACAAAGACAAAGATCCCCCGTATAGCCTTAACAGACTGTAGGGGCAAGTGCTGTTAGCGAGCACCTATGAAGGCCGGAACCACGCCCGACCGCCTTTGTCTCCCCAGTGGCGATGTTTACACACCGCACCAGGTACTCATTTGAGGCTGAGTCGACCTAGGGGAGGCCCTGGACCGGTTCAGATAATCGTCACTGGGTGTTGGCCGTGAGCGGGAATCGAACCCGGGTCGCCAGGTTCGTAACGCAGCGCGCTAACCGCTGATGATGGTGGTGATGATGGTAGTGGTGGTGATGATGGTAGTGGTGGTGATGATGGTGTTGGTGATTGTGGTGGTGTTGGTGATAATTGTGGTGGTGATGATGGTGGTGGTGGTGATGATTGTGGCGGTGATGATGGTGGTGGTGATTGTGGTGGTGGTGATGATGGTGGTGGTGTTGGTGATGCTTGTGGTGGTGATGA